CGGGTATAATGAGATAATCTGTATAATTTTTGACAATTATGCTCTTTTATATCTAATTAGCGGGAGAGGGTTTTCCTGATGTAAGTGCCCGCATTCTGTGGTTCTCCTGGCTCTCCCAGGTAGACACAGTGACTCTGGCCCGAGGCATCTGTGATGTGCAATCCGGAACTTCGAGATAACCTTAGATTTCGTAGATCGTCGTATTTGTGATGGCCTCTGCGGTAAGATTGCATCACGGCGCATTCGTCTCATCGAACTGAATCCAATATCGTGCAGCACTGAAGATACGTCAATGCCGAGCAGTTAATTATGGACCCAGCATCGTTTCACAATGCGCAGCTATGGGAGAGCCCAATCCGAAACTAGCCTTACATTGGTGTGGATGACTTTCGACTTAGCGGTGCTTGTACTGACCGAGTTGGTGGTCATGGAGAAGCTTCTGGCCTGAATTGTGGGTGCATTCTCACCCACCTGGTAAACTGCTGCCTTTTGACAGATATGGCGGGCAACTCAGCACACACTAATCTTCGCTTGCATAGCTCTCGTTAGATGTTAGACGTGTATGTTTCAGCCACCCTTCAGTTAGTGAGACCATTGGTATTGCGTCTGTTCCGCGATGAGATTCCCGCCTTCTTGAGGCCAGTCTCTCCAGTGCTCGGTGAGAATTGACCAGGTGCGAGTTTTCACAACTCTAGGCATACTGTGATGCTAGTTATGATGTTGATGCGACTGTTAGCCTGTTCTCACAGAACTTTGATGTGTACTTTCCTTTCATCTGTTTATAAGTGGAGGAGAAAATCGAATATGATCATCATATGCGCCTTAGGTCGCCTTACAGCAACAATAGTTCCGTACTATAAGCATGGTACAAATCATCAATATTCGACATCAAGCATTAACACGTATAAAGATCTGGACACTTTTCGCCCTTCAGTGATCCTGCTCTTCACTGTGAGTCATATACTCTCATCGACGGGAATGAACGTGATGAATCAGCTCCGTTGCTTCCTGACGGGCATCCGCGACTACGTCTTTCCTAAGGTGGGTCTAGCAAAGGGTGCTTGAGGGCACTGATATAGACTCTCAAACTGTTTGTAGATTCCGTTGCAGCGTCTTCGTGTTGGGGAAGACGGCAGCATCGAATGCTTTGGAGGAGGGAGGAAGCACTGGGTCCTAAGAAGTGACTCCGATGTGTACACGGTTCGCTACAAGTACTTTGTGAAGCATCCTAATGTTCGCGGCGGTAGATTTTCAGGTATGGGACTTCTTATGAGACTTAGCTATGTATACTGAGATTGGGTGTGTCGCAGTCACCGCTCCCCCTTCCCAGTGGGTGTTGTGGCCCTTCGATGAAGTATCTCAATACTCAAACCATCGATTTCTAGCTATCATCTGGTTCAAACAGAGACACTTTCAGTCGTACGACTTCTCATAGTTCTCATGTTGGCACCTTCTCAATTTGAGCTTCTTGCAGATATCTGGCGTCCTGGGATACATGCTCGATGGCGTGGTACGCACTGCGGGACCGGGTGAAACTGTCACATTCAAGCCATTTCATACTCACGGGGTCCGTACACTCAGTTGGCTATGGTGAGACGCAGGCTAAGGCCACCCCTTTCCAGTTTTGGGCAGAGGACAGTTCTGGGGAAGATTTGTTATTCGACCTCACGGCCATACCAGGGGAAGGATCCGGTCTCGGCAGTACTATGCTAGATAATTTCGATGGCTATGTTACCTCTGTGCTCGCGGCCGGAAAGAAATGCTCTTTCCTCCAGGTCATGGTCTTCGCCTATGACGCGGACATTGTGCTCTCATTGTTGCAGCCTTTTGATCGCTGGATTACAATCATTTGTGGTGCGTGGCCTTGTCAGTGACTATACGTTGGCTCAACTCTTGCCCAGGGCGCTACATAGGCAGATGGGCTGGATATAAAGCACACTACGAAGAGTTCTGGCTTGCCGAGGAGGGTCTCGCATGAATGAGCTCGCAATGCATGGATACTTTCCTGATACAAAGAACAACTCTTACGTCAGGCTCTCCTCTAAGCAGTAGCTGCTGTCAATGTGATCATTTCTGATTTCTGATTGCATGTTGTTTATAAGATTGAGTATCCAGGAGCCGCTGCGGCAGTGTGTATATAAGACAGGATCAGTCCATCGGTAAGATTTGCGATGACTCCTATTATCGATACAATGGAAGTAGCTCCGCTTATTGTGCCGCAGCCCGAGCGTAAGTTCCAATACAGGAGCCAACCCATCTGTCATTAAGAAAGCATCCCGGAAGACTCAGTGAGCAAGGAGCCGCTGAGTAATCTGAACAATCAATCCAAATGAATGTTCGAGCTTTTCGGGGATGTTTGGCCATGGACCATGGTACGTACATCCTTCCCTTTGTAGCACGCAAGCCGGCCTGAGGGCAAAATCGTCAGGACCATGTGGGTGCACCATAGGTTCCAATGCACCTCCTTCTCTCCGTAACCCCTTGTTCCTTGCTTGTGAGCAAGGGATTGCGTAGCGTGCGACGTGTACTGAATACGACTACAAA